CTGCTTTGCTCTTTGTATATCAAATAAAACAATCTAAATTTTGCTGAATATCGAGGCTTTTGTCTCTCATTTATAACACTGGGAACAGAGCAGAGAGGAGGCTCAGAGGCACATTTTGGGAAGGGTCACACTCTTGTGGGACCGTGCACAAATCACTGCATTGCCCTGCATTTCTCTGTGTTCCAAGGTTTAGGTTATAAAATATCCAGAATCAAATCGAACTTTGCTGTGAAAAAGTGGATTTCCTGCTGGAGTCCCTGCTGAAAAACTTCTCCCTGGGAACAGAGCAGACATGTGGCACAGAGGCAGATTTTGGGAAGTGTAACAGCAGTGGGAGTTTTGCACCACTTAATCAGTGCATTGTCTCAGTCTCTTCTGCCTTCACTCAGAGCCAGGATTAAAAAATACACAAAGGAAATGGATTTTCTCGTGTCTGGGCTTGGTTGTTTATTAAATCTTATGTAAAATACAGAGCATTCAACAGCAGTTCTGGCTACCTGCTAGAAGTGAGGAAAATGGAGAAAGATCCAACTGCTACAAGGTCTCTTAAAGCTAAACAGAGAATTAACACCTATATTATTTATCCTTTTAACCTAAAAACTAAATTCCCATGACCCTCAGTGTGACACTGACTGACCAACCAGAAACTACAACCCCAAACTTAAGAAGAAAAAGGAAGATGAAAAGAGACAGCACCCAAAATCCTCCATCTTGTCCCATACCTATTACTGTATTATAAAACCTTCAAATTTAAAGCCCTTTACCATGTGACTTTCTTGTTTGGACTCAGTTGTTTATTAATTCTTACCTATAGTACAGAGAGTTCTGCAGCAATTCTAGCTAACAAGCTTAAAGCAAGAAAATATTGGGAGATCTATCTAGTTACAAGGTCTTTTAAAGCCTAATTATGCAATTAAAAACTAACATTTATATTATTTATACTTTTGACCCAATGACCAAACACCTGTGACCCACACTGTGGGATTTTCTAACCAACCAAAACCTACTGCCTGAAACTAAGAAGAAGAAGGAACAAGAAAGAAGAAAGAGACAATTTAAGAACTTCCATCCTGTCCCATACCTATTACTATATTCTAAAACCCCAAATTCCAAACCCTTCACCATGTGATATTACACACTTTTACACAAATTACACACCTGTGATTCTAATTCCATTACTTAAACTTGGAACCTTCTCCAAGGCCTCAAGTCAAAAGCAGTGGGTTTTTTTTTTTTGAGGGTCAGAAAGTTTAAAACTCTCAGGGTTCCAGCAGGGAAGGGTCACACTGTGGCTCAGCCCTGTGTGGGACCGTGCACAAATCACTGCATTGCCCTGAATTTCTCTGTATTCCAAGGTTTAGGTTATAAAATATCCAGCATCAAATCCGACTTTGCTGTGAAAATGTGGATTTCCTGCTGGAGTCCCTCCTGAAAAACTTCATTTCACCTACTCTTTTAATTTATTGTCCCTTCTGTGATTTCAAGATCACCTCGTGATGGAACATCTCATGGGATGGCTCTGGAGATGGGAAGGGACAGGGATAGAAAAGAATGGGAAAAAATGCATGTGCTTCCAATAATAGCACTTTTCCTGCTTGGTATCCTGAATAATCACTGCCTCTTTGCCTAAGGATTCTTTAATTAATGATTTTTTTGAAGGGCAAACATGAGACACCCATTCCAGAGCGATGCCTGCAATGAGTGGTTTCACAATAACATCAGCTTTTTAAATACATCAGAGGCACAGGGAATTTCATCCCTGATTTAACTCTGACAGCAAAGGGGTCACAGCAGTGACCAGGTTGGCTCTGGCTTTTCATGGAACAGCTGAAGGCTGGATTGACTGGGAGCTGCATTTACCAGCCCTTCCAGATGGATTTTATTGCTTATCTCGGCGTGTGCCTGAGCTTAGCTGGGATGTTCACCTCAGTTCTGCTCCCAGCCATTTGGAATCTGCGTTAGCTCAATTAATAATGTTCCAATAAGGAATAGAAACAGCACTCAGGGCTCATTCCAATGCCTGGCAACTCTTTCTGGGAAGAAATTCCCTCTGATGTCCTCCCCTGGCACAATTTGATGCCATTTCCCCCCATGCTATTGTCTGGGAGAAGAGGCTGATCCCCACCTGGCCCCAGCCTCCTCTCAGGGGGTGTGGAGAGTGAAAATGTTTATGGAAATCATTTTAAAACTGTTCACAGGCACTGAATTCCCCAATATTCCCAATATAACCCCCCGAGGTGGCACAGCTCACCTGAGGATAGGAAAGGTCAAAATTGGAACCGTCCCTGAAAAGCATCATTAAATGATATTTTTGGGGGATTTCTAAATGCTCCAATCTAATTTATCAGTTTTCCCTGGGTGGCAAAGTGATAGATCATATTGAGAGCAAAAATAAATTGAAATTTTGAGGCAGAATCTTCAGTCTGGGATTGAAGTTGCTGAAATCAGGTGGGCTGGAGGAAAGAGCAGTTACCCAGTGTGACCCTGGCACTGTCACACAGGAGAGAAGGAAAACATCTAATGAGGCAATAAAAATGGGGATTATTTAAAAAGCAACAAGGAATTATTCCTACCAGGAGCCTCATTTATGCCTGGGGAAAAATGGAAATAAATGTGGCAGGAAAAGCTCTCAGATTGGGATTACAGGCTGTGTTGAGGAAAAAAAAAAAAAAAAGGATAATATTCTTAAAGAGAGTAATTGGCTTCCCAGTGATTCCTGGAAGCCAGACTCCTCCTGGAGCAGCTGAGTGAGAACTTGGCTGGGAGTCCTGAGATGCCCCTAATCCGAGGGCTAAAACTGAAATGCAGCATAATTGGGTTTAAGTGCTTCTTCCCTGGCTGCAGTTGTGTTTCCTCATCACTCCCATAATTGCCTTGATTGGCTTGGAATTTGTAAATCATTGGGAAAAGCCACGTGGTGATCCCAGGGCAAGGCCTGGCCTGAGTTCCTGGTGTCCTCCTTAAAATGAAAATAAATAAATAAAAAAAAAAATCTCTGGGGTTTCTGTAGCTCTTTGGGGATCCTTTAGGATTTCTACTTTGCTTCCTCACTCTCCCCTTTGCAGGGTGGAAAATTTTGTTAAATCCTGGAACACCCTTGGCATTCCAAGAATGGATTTAATTGCAGGATGGTGCTGAGGGAGATTTTCAGCCATGGTTAGCCCAGGGCTTTGTGCTTAGCAGGGAAGTTTGGACATCCTGCTCAGTCCTTCAGCATTTCTCACTGCAGGCTGAGGGCTCCAAAGCTGGAATACCCAATTTCCTCATTAAAATTCATTTTAGAACAGGTTTTAAGTGTTCAGAACTTGGCCTGGTGGTTTATATCCACAAATTCTGGTGCCTTAGCTCCATTCCTAGCAGAGGGATGTTCTTTCCTTAAAAGCCAATCATTTATTTCTATGATTATATGTGACAGAGACCACCCCAAAAAGGGATTTTTTTTTTTTCACAGCAGTCACATTTTGAGAAGAGAATGGAGATTTTATTCCTCCTCTGGGCAGGAATGGAAACCAATTTTGTGATGAGGTGCTGTCCTGCCTCACTCATCCTGGTCAGAACCAGAAGCCAGATTTCACCTGCAGAGCAGAAAAATTCCAGGGGATATTTTGGAGGTCTGAGCTTTACTTTTAAGTAGCAGGAAGAAATCTGGGTTTGGTTTATTTGCTGGGACATTCCTTTGGTGACTGATAAGAGAAATTTTAGGGCAGAAGGACTCATCCTGCTGTTCCTACAGGGAGCAGGGTTTTTCCTACATGCAGCTGTCAATTATGGCTGAGTTCACTCCCCCCAGATCCCTGTGATATCCCACTTTTCCAAAGGCCAGGCTCCCTGCTGCCCTGCTGCCTTCAAAACTGCCTCTTGTTTTGGAGCTTTTCTGCAAGTTGGGCTTTTTGGTTTCTTTATGAAAGTCAGGTTCCAGCTGTGGCTGTGGAGCTCTTGAAAATGTGAACCTTTAGGTCTCTTGAAAAAAATCTGTCCCTCAGGCCCATCAAGCCAATCAGCCATAGCAGGGGTGTTTTTCCTGATCCACAGGTGGAGAAACTCTCAGACAAGAGCCATTGATCACAGCGAGAAATCGATAGCGAGCTCTCATCAAAGCCAGCCCCTCCATCCCCATCCCATCAGCAGGCTGGGAGGGAACCAGCACTGCAGGAACAGAGCTGTTCCTATAAAACAAGTGCACTTCTGTGCCTGCCTGCTGAGAGTCCATCCTCTAAAAGTCAGGAAAACTTAGAACAAAATCCCACAATAAATCCAAACCATTTCAGAAACACGCGGGCAGAAGATGCCGCTTGTGTTGCCCGACCCAAAAGCTGAGACAGAGCTCTCTGGACTCCCCCAACTCCATTTTTCAATCCCAATCTCTTACCCTGTCACAATCTCAAAGGGTGGCAGGTCCTCCCTCTTCACCTTCTTCTTCTTCTTCCCCTCGCCCTCCTCGGCGTTGTCGGGTTCCCCGTTCTGGGCATTGCTGGGCTCCTCCTGCTTCTCTGCCATCTTCCCCGGCACCGAGCTGTGGCCACTGGGAGAGAGAAAGAGCAATTTCTGAGAGCCCTGGGAGCTGAGGGAGGAGAGAAAACAGAGCTGGGAGTTCCTGCCCCAGGCACAGTTGTCGGGAACTAAATATGGAACAAAGCGGCAGCGGCAGGGGCTGGATGGGGTTGGGTGACCCAAGGCTCTCAGGTGTCACCTCCTTCCCCTCTCCAGCTCCTCTCAGCTCCCTCTTGCTCCTCTTTTAATTTCAAACCAAGTGACAACTTCACGGCGGGTGGGACGAGCCCGTCATTTTCCCTGATGGAAAATCCTGGAAGCTCGGGTGTGTATTCATCCCCTGGCTTTGACGGCTGGCACGGGGCTCCCTCTGCTCCCACAGCCTCTCCCTCCTCTGCCACTGCATCCCATGGCTGACCTTGAAGGACCAGCCCAGCCTGGCCTGCCTCAGGCAAGAGGGGGAAGGAGTCGTGGTTGTTTTGCTGGAAAATCCCTGGGTTTGGTGGGTTTGGCTTCCTGGATCACCTGGAGAACCCCAGCAGGAGATCTGTGATTCCTCCCACCCTGCTCGTGCAGGTCTCTCCTCCTTGGAGCTCTAAATCCAAGCCAGAACCTTCTCCCAAATATTTGAAAATCCAGCTGGAATTCCCAGTGGGCAGCAGTGCTGCTTCTCCCACTGTTCTGCATTTTCTGCAGAATTCCAATGTTTCTGCATTTCCTCCCCATTCCTGAGTGTTCCATAAGTTCCCAGAGCACTGGGGTATATCCAGGTCTGAGGGGATTTTTCCCTCTATTTTTTGTTCCTCACTCTCAATTTCAATCCTTTACAGTTTGTATCAATCCTGCCTGAGCTGAGTTTAATGAAAACCTGGCTGAGGTTTTCCCAGGGACCAATGCCATGGGGCAAAGGAGGTGGGAAAAATGTGGCTGTGCAGGATTTTGTAATCAAAGCACACTGGAAATCAAACCTCCAGTACTGTGGGCTCTGCACTTTGCTCAGCACCCACCAGCAGCAAACTTTGAGAAAATATGGAATATTCAGTTGTATTTGATGGAATATTCAGCTGAATTTGATGGAATATTCAGCTGAATTTGATGGAATATTCATTCAGTATTAGTGGAAAAACCTGCTCTTAGTTTGAGGAGGAGAAGAGCTATTCCATAAAAATCAAATCACTGGGAATATCTGCTTTGGGGCCAAGCAGCCTTTGTGACTCTGTTAAATCCAGCTCTTTAGAGCTGTGGCATGAGGCTGCACCATCACAAAATGAAATAAATCCACACCATCGGGCAGGTCCTTTATCATCAGAGAAAATGAATAACAAATTATCACAGATAATTAATTCTGGCTGCTCTTCCCAGCCCCTTTGCCATCACCCTGCCTTGCTGTGCTGGGTATCCTTTGGAGCTTTTCCCCAGTGCCACCATGGATGCAGATTTTTGGGGACAGAGCAGCCCTTGGATGAGTTGTTGTTTAGGTGGTGTTGTTGAGGTGATAAAGCCAGCAGTGGTGACAGCCCCAACCAAGGATTTGACAAATTCCAAGACATCCTATCCATGGAACATATATCTTCCACGGTGCAGGATTTTATTTATTTCTAAGCCTGAAATACTTTCCTGCAGGCCAGGGGTGATGTTTTGCCTCCTGTGTGGTGACAACGCTCAAATTCCACCTCCCCTGTCCAATTGCTGTCACCTCTGACATTTCAGGGGCTGCTTTTGGGCTGGGAATCCTCTCCCAGTGACTGACAGCTCATTTCCTCCTAATCCTGATATTTTCAAGCAGCATCTCAGCCCCTCTCCAGTCCCTCTGACCCACTCTGCTTTATTTTTGGAAGCTCTTCATGGCTGGGCTCCCAGTTTTGCTGCAGCTTTAGCCTGGCCCCACCGAGGGCCGAGCTCTAATCTAATCTGGGGAATGTGGCCCCGAGGCTCCCCCTCTCTCCAGCCCTTCCCAGCTGCTCCCCAGCTCCTTCTAGGGCAGTGCTTGGACCGGCCACGATCCTCCCCCCACTGCAGCCAAAAATATAAAAGGGCACCACGGAGCTGCTGCGTTGGAGCTGGGGGTGGGTGAGGGCTCTGCTGCCTCTTTGTGACCCCAAACGTGTCCCCAGGGGGTTCCCAGCAGCGCTCAGGGGACCCCAAATTGGGCACCTGCCCACCAGAGTTTGTACTGAGGTTCCCCTCCTCTTGTCCCCGTCCTCATTGATTTCATATTTTATCCAGTTGGCTCTGAATTAGTTCATAAAATCCCAGCATCACTGAGGTTGGAAAATCCCTGTGGGATCATCGAGCCCGAGCTGTGCCCGATCCCCACCCTGAGCGCTCAGTGCCACCTCCAGGTGCCACCTCCAGGGACGGGCACTCCAAACCTCCCTGGGCAGCCCCTGCCAACCCTTTCCATGAGGAAATTCCACCCTGAGCCTCCCCTGGCCCAGCCTGAGGCCGTTCCCTCTCCTCCTGTCCCTGTTCCCTGGGATGAGATCCCAAATCCCCCCCGGCTGGCCCCTCCTGTCAGGGAGTTGTGCAGAGCCAGAAATTCCCCCTGAGCCTCCTTTTCTCCAGGCTGAGCCCCTTCCCCTCAGGATTCTCCAAACCCTTCCCCATCTCCCTCAGGATTCTCCAAACCCTTCCCCAAATCCCTCAGGATTCTCCAGGCCCTTCCCCAAATCCCTCAGGATTCTCCAGACCCTTCCCCATCTCCCTCAGCCCCTCACAGACAGATTCCCCCACCCATTCCCGGGGGGATCACGGCTCAGCCACAGGGGACACACAGGACAGGGCTGAGGGACAGCCCCACAGAAGCTTCCAGGCTTTGCTGGAGTTTTGGATTTTGGGGATCCTGCAAGTCCAGAGCAGCTTCTTCAGTGACTTTAGAGGCACCTTGGAGCACTTTCATCCCCAAACTTTTTTTTTTTTTTTAATCCCCAAACAGGGATCTCTGCTGTGTCCCTATGCCAGTGTCCCCTGCAGGTCACAGGTGTGCTGTCCCTGTCCCAGCAGGTCACAGGTGTGCTGTCCCTGCAGGTCACAGGTGTGCTATCCCTGTCCCTGCAGGTCACAGGTGCTCTGTCCCAGCAGGTCACAGGTGTGCTGTCCCTGTCCCTGCAGGTCACAGGTGTGCTGTCCCTGTCCTTGCAGCAGGAATTCCTGCAGTTAACCTGGCTCTTCCCTCTCCCATCACCCACACCTGCCTGCCACAGGCCGTGCCAGGAAAAGGGAGCTTTTATGGCATTGTGGGGCCGGAGGAACATTTTGGGATAGATGTGAGAGTGAAATAAGAGCCTGGGCGGGTGAGTCACGGCTCAGCCGCGCTCCCCATGCCGAGGGGACAGCTGGTGGCACCAACAAACGTCTCCCTAGAGACACTGCCGGGCAGCCAGCCCCTCCTGCTTTTTCCAGCTGTAACCACGGCACAAACAAATAAACACCGACAGCTTTCCTTCCTTCCTGGAATCCTTCCTTCCTTCTTTCCTGGAATCCTTCCTTCCTTCTTTCCTGGAATCCTTCTTTCCTGGAATCCTTCCTTCCTTCCTTCCTGGAATCCTTCCTGGAATTTTTCCTTCCTTCCTGGAATCCTTCCTTCTTTCCTGGAATCCTTCTTTCCTGGAATCCTTCCTTCCTTCTTTCCTGGAATCCTTCTTTCCTTCTTTCCTGGAATCCTTCCTTCCTGGAATTTTTCCATCCTTCCTTCCTGGAATCCTTCCTGGAATCCTTCCTTCCTTCCTGGAATCCATCCTTCCTGGAATTTTTCCATCCTTCCTGGAATTTTTCCATCCTTCCTGGAATCCTTCCTTCCTTGTTCTCACCTGTCCCTCTCCTCCTGCCCTCAGCACCAAAAAGGTTTCAAGGAGGGCTGGAAACTTCCCTGTCCCACCTGGGCAGTGCCCAAATCCTGGTGGAAGATGCTCCAGCTGTCCTGAGCCCCAGGTGAGGGATGTTCTCACCTCTGTCCCTGCCTCATCCTCCCGTCCAAACCCCCCCGGCTCTCACTCCCAGCCTGGCTCACGGGAGCGGAGCCTTGGCAGGCGCTGCTGCCTCCCCAATTAATCCCGAACCCAACTGGGAGTTAATGACAGCTCCCAGCAGGGCTGGAGCTCCTGCTGCAGCTTCCCGAGAGCAGCTCTGGTGGAAAGAGAGCTCCAAGCACAGGAATTTCTGTCCTGCAGCGCCCAGAGCTGGGGCACGGCCTGGCAGGGTGGCTGTGTCACCTGCAGGGAGGTGACAAACCTGGCTGGCACCTCCGTGGGTGCCTTAACACAGCTCCAGGCTGCAGCAAATCAGGGAAAACTCAGTCCAGAGAGCTGGGACTGCTGAGAATTGGGGGGTGAGAGGAGGGGATGGAAACGGGGAGAGAAAAAAGGGGAAAGGAAAGGAAAGGAAAAAGGAAAGGAAAAGGAAAGGAAAAAGGAAAGGAAAAAGGAAAGGAAAAGGAAAGGAAAAGGAAAGGAAAAGGAAAGGAAAAGGAAAGGAAAAGGAAAGGAAAAGGAAAGGAAAAGGAAAGGAAAAGGAAAGGAAAGGAAAGGAAAGGAAAGGAAAGGAAAGGAAAGGAAAGGAAAGATTGGTTGTGCACAAATCCTGTGGCTGCAGCAGCCAGGGAGTGATTGCTGGGCCCGAGGGGCACCCTCAGTTTAATGGGAAATTCCTCCATGTCCTGCTGGAGTTGGGAGTGAGGGGCAGCAGCAGAGAGGGAGCTCTGGGTGCCACAGCCCTTGGGAACCAGGGGGACCCGGGCACATCCCTGGGGTGGGACAGTGCCCATCCCAAAGGCAAACATGGGATTGGGATGGGATAATGGGATGGATTGGGATCATGGGATGATCCTTAAGTTCCCTCCCATCCCAAACCATTCCAGGATTCTGTGAAGCCAAGGCTGGTTTGGGGCTGCACTGCACAAGAAACCCTGCAGATGACTTTGAAATGTCATTACAGTTATTTTTATGCAAAGGGGTTCAGTCTATTTGTTTAAACAGCAAATGCACCAAACGATGCTTTAAATATTAATACAGGAGGGTGTCTCACTGAATTTAATTTTCCCAATTGATTTCAAGCTGCTCTGGATAGCACAGGGAGGAATATTTGCTATTTTTGCTGCCTGTGAGAAAAGGCAGGAGGCAAAGAAAAGCTCCTTCTGCACTTCCAGGTAGGCTGGGAGGAGGAGAAACTGGAAGGAAAACAAGAACAAGGCAGCCAGTCCCAGCACTGGGGAAATGGGGAGGGCAAACGTGGAAAAAAAAATCTATTAATCTTAATTTCAGATTTTCCTTTGCCTGCAGAGAAAAAGTGGGAAGAGGAAATAGACCCAATTTATGAAAGCTGATCAAATATGCATTCATCTATTTAATTGGAAATGTTATTAAAGAGTTGCAGGTATGAGCCAGATCTAGAGCCACCAATTTAAATGTGATTTAAATAATTCTCTCCCCTTTCCAAAAGGAGATAAAGAATCCTTTAATCCCTCCTGGCCTCTCTGGATGGCCTTGCTCATCCCTGTTCCCTCAGGACAGGCTGGGCAGAGCCAAAATCACCCTGAATTCCCCCAAATTAACCAGACCCCACCTTCATTTGAGAGAGAAATAATTTACATTTGTCCTTTGGCATGAGAGACTCCCTGGGAGACACAGAAGCTGTAAATAAGTGCAGTGGCATGGCAGAAAAAAAAAAAACAAACCCTGAAGCGTTATAGGATTTCTCTTTTTATTTCTTATTTTTAATTTTTAATTTTTCAGCAGCTTTTGATGTCACCAGTGCTGCTGCAGGGCTCTGTGGGGCTGCTCCTGCTCCACAACCTTTTCCTGCAGCTTTTCCTTGGGACAGCACAGCCCTGGGCAAAGAAGCCCAAGCCAGGGGGGATAAAATAATGGATCAAAATGACAGAACCACCAAATTTTAGCAGGAATTACAAATTCCAGCCGCTCTCAGCTGCCAGGGTTTGTTTCTCTGTCGTGCTGAGCCCCCAGCTCTGCCCGGGTTGGATCCAGGAAGGTTCAGAATCTCCCAAAATCCAGCTGGGTGTGAGCCCAGGGAGGATCTGGGGTGGTGGCACAGAGGAGCTTGGCACAGGGATGTCCCCAAGGGAGGGAATTTGGAGCTTTCTGACCCTCAGAAGAACTCTGCTTCTGACCCGAGGCCTTGGAGTGAAACACAAGTGTGAAATGTCACGTGGTGAAGGGTTTGGAATTTGGGATTTTTAGAATATAATAATAGGGATGGGACAAGACGGAGGATTTGGGTTGTTGTCTCTTTTTTCCTTCTTCATTCTTTCAGGCAGTAGTTTATAGTTGGATAGAAAATCGCACAGTGTGGGTCACAGGAGTTTGGTTCTTAGGTTAAAAGTATAAATATTAAAGGTGTTAATTCTCTGTTGGACTGTTTAGCTTTAAAAGACCTTGTAGCTAAATTCACCTCCTTTTTTTGCTCACTTTTAGCTGGTGGCTACAGAACTCTCTGTACTTTAGATAAAATTTAATAAACAACCAAGCCTGAGCACGAGAAAATTCATCTCCTTGGTGTTTTTAATCCTGACTCTGAGTGAAGGCAGAAGAAAATGAAGACAAGGCACTCATTACGTGGTGCAGCTCCCCCATTTACAGAGGGTGTCCCAGAGGGACCCTGGGGACATTTTGGGTTCCCAAATCTCCTCCCTTCATCCCTTGAGTTTTTGGGAACCTCACCCCAAAGCAGTACAGCGAGAATAACTCGGATTTTTTATTTATTTATTCTCCAAAAAAACAATGGCTTGTTTTATTCAAAGCAAATACAATTTATGTTACAGCCCCAGCTGAGCCTTCCCACCCCCTTTGGGGTACCCTCAATTACAACCCAAATTAATTACAGCCCCAATTAATTACAGCCAGTGCCGGGAAGAAAATCCACATGCCCCTTCTCTTTGCATTTAATGCTTTTAGCAATTAAAAATCATGTAAATTCTTTTACATTTCTGGCTCTAAATCTGAATCTAAATTCTTTTAGAACCAGAGCTCAGGTTTTGAGGAAAATGGAAATCCAAGGATGAGTCCATGCACCCCTTGTGTCTGATTCCATCCCATTCCTTTGGAATTCTGTTATTTTACTTTAATTTTACTTTTAATTTTACTTTTCTTGATTAACAATGGCATGGAAATGCTGCAGGATGAGGCTTTTCACTGCACCTGATTTAAAGATTCTGAGTGGGGGCTTTTTGCCAATTCTGTAATTAATTACAACCTTGAGGCACTGGGAGCAGGCTCACAAATTTCACAAACTCTCGTGTCTCTAGTTGAAAATAAAAAAAAGAATTAAATGAAATGTTTTCTTCCAAGGCACTGGTGTGAGTTTTTCATTTCTGCTGAGGTGGAAGGGAGGAATTTCCTCTTGGGAGAAGCATTTGGGAAGGATTTGGGGATGCTCCCAATCTCCATCCAGCAGCAGAGCAAGGCCCATCCCTGCTGGCAGATAAAGAGCTGAAGCACAAACCAGGGAATACAGGAACACGAAGCAACAGCACAAAGAGCAAAAAAAAAAAAAAAAAAAAAAGGAGATGTTTCTTTAAAAAAATTAAGTAATTAAAAAAAAAATCAAGTAATTTTGAAAAGTCAAGTTCTTTTAAAAAATCAAGTAATTTCTTTTAAAAAAATCGAGTAACTTCTTTAAAAAAATCAAGTAGTCTGAAAAATAACCCAAGTAATTTCTTTTAAAAATCCAGTAACTTCTTTTCAAAATTGAGTAACTTCTTTAAGAAAAAAATAAGTAATTTCTTTTAAAAATATCAATTTATTTAAAAAAAATCAAATATGTTCTTTAAAAAATCGAGTAATTTCTTTAAAAAAATCAAGTAACTTATTAAAAAATGAGTAATTTCTTTTTAAAAAATCAAGTAATTTCTTTTAGAAATATCCATTTATTTAAAAAAAAAAAAAAATCAAGTAAGTTTGTTAAAGATGGGTGTGCAGAGGTGAAGGCCATTTTGGTTCGGTCCCAGCAGAGGAGATGAGATTTGAGTGTGTGACCAATTAATTACAGCCAGTAATTAATGCCCTCGAGGTGGGGGGGGATGGTGGCAGTGGTGAGGGGTGCCCAGCCTGAATTATTCCAGATCATTTCCCTGCTGGAATTTGACCATGAAGGGAACAGCTGGAGCCCCAAAACCACTGAAATTTCAAGGAGGGGACGGTACCAAGCTCTCACGATGGAGATGAGAGAAAGGAGGAAGAGGAAAAAAAAAAAAAAAACCCCAAAACCAACCCCTCGATTTTTTTCCACCTCTCTTCACCTCCGGCCGGTTTCGCTGGAATAAATCCCGGCAGAACTGCTCGCTTTAGTCGCTCTTGCCCGATTTGTGCTCGGGGTTGTCCTTCCAGATGCGGATGGTGAGGCAGGTGGCCATGGCCAGCCAGCCCAGGTAGGGCAGCAGCAGCAGCGCTGCCCCGCGGTTGATGCGGTACCAGGAGCACAGGGTGCCCACGGCCAGCCCGTCCAGACACAGAATATCGAGCAGAGCCTGCAATGAACGCGGCTCGGTGATTCCCGGCTGGCCACGGCACCGCCCCGCCTGCCAAAATATCCCGGGACGCGTGGGAGATGGGGCAGGGGTGGGGAAATGGGACAGGAATGACCCCAAACCCCGGAACATTGAACAGGGATGGGGAAATGGGACTGGAACAACCTCAAACCCCGGGACATTGAACAGGGATGGGGAAATGGGAGAGGAACAATCCCAAACCCCGGGACATTGAACAGGGATGGGGAAATGGGAGAGGAACAATCCCAAACCCCAGGGCATTGAACAGGGATGGGGAAATGGGAGAGGAACAATCCCAAACCCCAGGGCATTGAACAGGGATGGAGAGATGGGACTGGAACTACCCCAAACCCCGGGACATTGAACAGGGATGGGGAAATGGGACAGGAATGACCCCAAACCCCGGGACATTGAACAGGGATGGGGAAATGGGACAGGAATGACCCCAAACCCCGGGACATTGTACAGGGATGGGGAAATGGGAGAGGAACAATCCCAAACCCCAGGGCATTGTACAGGGATGGGGAAATGAGGCAAGGATGGGGAGTTGGGATAGAAACAACCCCAACCCCCAGGACATTGTACAGGGATGGAGATGTAGGGACTGGAACAACCCCAAATCCCAGGACATTGAACAGAGATGGGGAGATGGAGCAGAGATGGGGGTATTGGGACAGGAATGACCCCAAACTCCAGGGCATTGTACAGGAGATGGGGAAATGAGGCAAGGATGGGGAGTTGGGACAGGAGCAACACCAAACCCCTGGGTATTGTACAGGAGATGGAGAAATGGGACAGGAACAACCCCAAACCCCAGGACATTGTACAGGGATGGGGAAATGGGACAGGAGCGACCCCAAACCCCAGGACATTGTGCAGGGATGGGGATGTTGGGACTGGAGTGACCCCAAACCCCAGGGCATTGTCCCCGGACTCCAATCAGCGACATCGGAGTGTGTCACACCACCAGCCGACCCTAATTAATGTTCTCCGTTCATTATCGAACCCCGCAGATTAACACCCTGCTCATGGCGGGTGTCCCCTTCGCTCACACAGAGCCTGCTCGTGGTGGTGGCCACTGGACAAACTCTCCTTTTGCCCCCAGAGTGACAAAATTCAGGTGGGAACGCGAATCCCCATCGGTGCCTCTGCCACCTCAGCCCTTGGCACCTGAGGCACAGCCTGGTGGCCCAGCCCGGGTGTGGCAGAGCCCCAGCCCCGCCCTGGCTGTGCCCGATAAGTCCCCGGGAGCTGCCCCCCATCCCCCAGGGATGCCACAGCGCTGTTGTCACTCAGGGTGTGACCCCACAAAGGACTTTATCTCCCAGCCAGGACCCTTAACTGGGGGGTGCAGCCCTGGCTCTGCCCGGCCCCGCATCCCCCGCCCCGGCTATCGGGGGCTGGACGGGACCGATACCATTGTGTGTGAGCAGGAGCGGCTGCGGCTGGGCTGAAACTCCCTGTCCAGCCACACAATTCCCCTCAGCGCAGCCCCAAAGCGCCCCAAAGCCGGCAGGGAAGCCCCATTACCATGTTCAGGTTGCGGGCACCGAAGAACAAGGGGGGCCATGCCCAGTTGAGCACCAGCTGAGCCCCGTAGAGCCCCAGGGGCACGATGGCCTTGCTGCTGCAGCCGCCCAGGTCGTTCCACACCAGGTACGAGGCGTAGCTGTGAGGAGGGACAGGGTCAGTGCCCGCACCCACCCCCGGCAGGGACACGGTCCCCCCTGCACGAGTGTTCTCCCCATCGGGGCTTTGTTTGCAGGGCAGTTTGCACCACAGCAGCACCCACGGCTGAGCTGCCCTCTGAGAGCAGGGACAGCTCTGGGGAGGTTTGGGTTGGATTTTGGGAAAGGTTCTTCTTTCCCCAGAGGGTGCTGGGCACTGCCCAGGCTCCCCAGGGAATGGGCACAGCCCCGAGGCTGCCAGAGCTCCAGGAGAGTTTGGACACCGCTCCAGGGATGCTCAGAGTGGTGATTTTGGGGTGTCTGTGAAGGGGCAGGAGCTGCTCTGGGTGATCCCCTCCCAGCTCGGGCTATTCCATAATTCCATGTCTCTCCCTCCTCCCAAACCACACCTGAGTGGCTCCTGCCCCCTGCCCAGTGCCACGGCTGGCTGTGGCATCTCCCCCGTGCCAGGCTCACACCTGGCTGCTCCAGGTGACCCCAGAGCCCAGGGCAGAGCCTGCCAGGGCCGCTCTGGCTGTGCCAGGGCCAGCAGGACGGCAGGAGCGGTGCCACACTCACCCCATGCCCGTGTACAGCATGGTCCAGGCCACGGGGAACACCCTGCGCGATGGGCACCAGGAAGGTTTTTTCAGCTTCTCGTACCACGCCGGGATTTCCTTCCTGTTGAGGAACCAGCCGAGGAATCCTCCGACGTGCGGCAGGACGGTGAAGCCCACGGTGTAAGCCCACATCCTCCCTCAGGGGCTTGAAATCGCTGATTTGCTGCTCTAAGTTAAAAACAAAGTCACAGCGTGGCTTTTAAAGGACTTTCCCCCCCTCTACTTCTGTCCTCTAATTCCATGTTCCACTTCAGCCTCTAAGGCAGGAAAGGATTTAATGTGTTCAGCTCTCTCTGCCCCTCTCTGAAATGGGAATTATTCCTGGCTGGGACGTTTTTCACTCTTTCACAGTTCCGTGCAATATTCCTGCGAGGTGGGAGGATTTTGGGGGCTGCTCCCCCTCCTCTGCTGCCCTGAGGATGAAAACCCAAACTCCGTTCAGACTTCCCCATGATTTTTTTTACCGTGGATTTCTATTTTAATTTCTATTTTAAAAGAGGTCTATGACAGAAAAACCCTGCAGGAACCCACGGCAGAGGGGACTCTCAGCAGTGCAAATTTGGAGCTGAGGCACAGGGGGAGGCTCTGAATCTGTTCACGGATTTCCTTTTGTACAAAACCAAGGAAAAAATTCTTTAATAATAAAAATGTTCCCACACAATGCAAGGGAACACCGGGACACGTCCAGAATTCAGTGTCTGTTCTGCCTCTTCCCCTGCAGAGCTCCGAACCTGCCACTCTTCCGTCCTCCCCAAATTCCCCTTCCCTCTGGATCCATCCAGGAATTAAATCCCGATTAACATTCGTCAGGAATGGCTCGCAGGAGCCGCCAGGAGCGCAGTTCTGAGCTGTCAGCACGAACACAAAATGCACCTGGGGAGGTTTGGGATTTAGGAATGCAGGAGGAAGGAGCAGAGCGGGCACGGAGCAGCTCCTGAGCCAGGGAAATGTCCCGGAGCCGGGAATTGAGGATGGCACTGACCCGAACAGGCTCTGCCTGGGATTTCAGGTCATAATTAACACTCTGCTGCACGTTCAGCTAATTGTTATTATTGTCAGCACACCACAAGCCGATACCTCACCGAGAACAAACACCCCGGGCTCCACCTCAACCAACAACTTCACCTGACAATTTATGGCACTCTCCAAGTACCCACAGAACCAGGAAACAACTGAAAACTGAAAAAAAAACCTGAAAAAATCAAATTCAGTTCTGCTTTAAACGCGACCCAGCCCCGCCGAGTTCTGCTTCCCACGCGCACCGCAGGAGCGGAATACGGGAAAAGCGAATTTTCCCCAATTTCTTTGCTGCTGCAGAGGTGAAGGAGGGTTGAAAATTTTCCTTTAGCCTCGCAGCTGCTGCTCCTGGAGCTGCCCAAGCCTTACCTGGGTCAGTGCCTCGCTCCTCCTGGCCGAGGGAAGGGCTGGGACATCCAGGACCAGCGCGTCCCGTCCCCGAGTGCCGCAGGTGGAACCGGGCTTTGACCCAAAAACCCCAAACTGGGCGGTGCGGCGGGGCTGCATCAGATTAAAGTGGGAGCTCCGCTGGGGACAATCGCCCGGAGTTTGGGGTGGCGGAGCCCGGGGACAATCGCTGGGAATTTGGGATGGTGGAACCTCGGGATAATCACTGGGAATTTGGGATGGTGGAACCTCGGGATAATCGCTGGGAATTTGGGATGGTGGAACCTCGGGATAATCGCTGGGAATTTGGGATGGTGGAACCTCGGGATAATCGCTGGGAATTTGGGGTGCTGGAGCTCCAGGACAATTAATGGGAATTTAAGGTGCTGGAGCCCGGGGACAACCATCGGGAATTTGGGATGGTAGAACCCCGGGATAATCGCTGGGAATCCGGAATGGTGGAGCCTGGGGACAGTCGCTGGGAATTTGGGGTACTGGAACCCCGGGACAATCACTGGGAATTTGGGATGGTAGACCCCAGGGACAATACCAGGAATTCAGGATGGTGGAGCCTGGGGACAGTCGCTGGGAATTTGGGGTTCTGGAGCTCCTGGGACAATTACCGGGAATTCGGGGTGGTGGAGCCCGGGGACAATCACGGGGAATTGAGGATGGTGGAGCCCAGGGACAACCGTTGGGAATTTGGGGTGCTGGAACTCGGGGACAACCATGGGGAATTTCGGGTGGTGAAGCCCCGAGACAATCACTGGGAATTTGGGATGGTGGAGCCCAGAGAAACAGTTCCTGGGAAATTGGAGTGCTGGAGCCCGAGGACAATTGTTGGGAATTTGGGGTGCTGGAACTCAGGGACAATCACTGGGAATTCAGGATGGTGGAACCTGGGGACATCCATGGGGATTTGGAGTGCTGGAACCCCGAGACAATCACTGGGAATTCGGGGTGGTGGAGCCTGAGGACAATCACAGGGAATTGAGGATGGCGGAGCCCAGGGACAGCCGTTGGGAATTTGGGGTGCTGGAACTCGGGGACAACCATGGGGAATTTCGGGTGGTGAAGCTCCGAGACAATCACTGGGAATTCGGGGTGGTGGAATCCAGGGACAACCACCCAGAATTTGGAGTGTTGGGGCCTGGCAGGGGCACGGTGGCTTCGGGGTTGTCCCCACCGGGATGGACCCGGCTCCACACCTGGGTTACCCCACCTGAGGGCACAGCCCAGAGCCCCGGGGTGTCCCTGGGGTGTCCCCGGGGTGTCCCTGGGGTGGGCACAGGGCAGGAGCTGCTGCACTGCAGGGAGCACCTGGCACACTCATGGGATGTCACTGTCACCTTCAGGGGTGTCCCTGCCATGTTCATGGGATGTCCCCATCACATTCTTGGTGTGTCCCTGTCACACTCATGGGGTGTCACTGTCACATTCAGGGTGTCCCTGCGTGGCACACTCATGGGGTGTCACTGCCACACTCACATGGTGTCACTGTCACCTTCAGGGGTGTGCCTGTCATGTTCATGGGGTGTCCCTGTCACACTCATAGGATGTCACTGTCACATTCAAAGGGTGTCCCTGAGTTCACCCACGTTCACACTGTGTCCCTGTCACACTCATGGGATGTCACTGTCACATTCAGAGAGCACCCCTGTCACACTCAGAGGTGTCCCAGCTGCATGTACAGGGTGTCACTGTCACATTCATGGGGTGTCCCTGCCACAATCACAGAGTGTCCCTGTGTCCCTGCCCCACTCCTGGCCTGTCCCACCCTCCCCATGCCCCCAGGCGCTCATTAACACCCCATTAATTAACCAGGTGCTTCGCCCTGTGCAGCCCTGTGGCCGAAATGCCGTGGCAGGTGAAAGGAGCTGTTCCACGGGCGTGTGAAACGGCGCAGGGCAAAGCCAGAAATCAATTTCCATTAGGGAGCTGTCTGCCAGGGCTGCCAAAATGAAACACTAATTCCCAGCAGTTCTGGGTCATTACCTGGATTTCATGGAGGCAGGAGCTGGGCTGGCTCCTCACACGCTGGGATTTTGCTGCTGCAACAGGAATCAGGAAAATCTCCTCTTTTACTGGGCTCCCAAGGAAATTGTTTTATTCATGGGAGGAGAAAGAAAAGAGGGGAAAAAATTCTGTAAAAAGCCAAAATTTCAGCCAGCCTGAATCCTGCCCTGCCATGGGTTGGTCCAGTGGAATTCCCTCTTCCAGTGACAGATGCAGCTCATTAATCACAGCCCGGCCACCTGCATCTCCTCCCAGAGCCTGTTGCTATTTGTGACTGGAAATTTGTGTCATGGAACCATGCAGCTCCTAAAAGAGCCCGAATGGTTTCCATGAGAGTCAGGCCCTGCTGCGCTGCAGAGCTCAGCCCCTGCTGCCTCCACAGCCCCCGGGCAGCTCTGGCAAAAAGCACAAAATTTGACAATTTTCAGCTGGAGATTTTTCTCCCCCTGGGCATGAGCTCGGTCCCGTGGTTACTGGATGGCTTGGCAGCAGTGTGCCCAGGCTGGTTTGGAATTTAATGTGCTGGAAGAATGAGAAGCTGAGGGACAAATCCCAAGGCTCTGTGAATCTGTGATGCTGGGAATGCTGCTGGTGATGGGGGGAGAGAAAATGGGAAGAAGGGAAAATAACAGGGGCAGTTCCAGGCCTGAAAGTTGTGTCTTTGCTGAGCTTTGGGGTAAAGAAAGGGATCAGGGAATCACGGAATGGTTTGGAAGGGAAGGATCACCCAGTGCCACCCCCTGCCATGGGCAGGGACACCTCCACCATCCCAGGCTGCTCCCAGCCCCATCCAGCCTGGCCTTGGGCACTGCCAGGGATGCAGGGGCAGCCACAGCTGCTCTGGGCACCCTGTCCCTCCCAGGAACAATTCCTTCCCGATTAACACAGAAAAAAAGGGTGAGATTTGCCCCCAGGTAGCTCCCAGCTGGTTCCTGTTCCCTCCTGGGCACCAGGCTGTGGGTCCTGGCTGGGCTGGAGCTGGGCAGAGCCTCTCTGCCAGTGGTTACTGGGCGGTGATGGAGCTGAGATTGGGCAGGAGACAGCGAGGGGGAGGCAGAAGGAGCAGGATGGGGTTTGGGAAGTCTGTGGGGAGCCAGAGTGGGTTTATGTGGCACAAATCCATGCACAGCCACCCCAAGGGATGTGTTTTGTGTCCTTGGGGTTCCTCCTGCCCTGGGCATGTGCTGGAGGATGGAACAGCCCTGGGAATGCTCTGGAAATGTTTCCTCCAGCACAGCGTTTGCACCTCAATATTTCTGCTTTGGGTTCACTTCCCCAGACCAAGCTGAGGCTGCTCTGCAGTGGGACCTGTCCCCATCCCACGGCTCAGGGAAGAGCAGGATCAGCTTTGGGAATTCTTTGGGGGCACTCTGGGTTCTGGAGCCAGCCTGGGTTTACCTGTGGCAGGAATCCATGCACAGCCACCCCAAAGGATGTGTTTTGTGCTTTTGGGGTTCCTCCTGCCCTGGGCATGTGCTGGAGCAGGGAACAGCCCTGGAAATGCTCTGGAAATGTTTCCTCCAGCCTTTCCCCTGCTCCCATGCATTTACACCCCAATATTTCTGCTTTGGGTCCCTTCACAGTGACCCCGCTGAGCCGAGGCTGCTCTGCAGTGGGACCTGTCCCTCTCCCAGGTCCATCCCACGGCTCAGGACATTCGGGATTTGGGAGCCCCGGCTCCGTGCAGAGTGTGGGACACGCCGAGCTCGGTTACACAACGCTGTTTGTTTTCCTCTTCTTAGCAACCCCCGCACGTTGTCCCCGGAGGTGCTCGCTCCGTGCGAGATTAATTGCTCAAATAGAAAGGCCCTGTTAACCTGAATATATTATTGAAAACCAGCATATTTCAATCCGCCCTAGATTTGAAAATAGAGATGCCGGGTCAGCTCCTGGCATAAATCTGCAGAGCTCCTGGAAGCCAGTGGAGCTTCCCTGATTTACACCGGCAATAAAGGCGGTCTGGATCGGCTGCAGGGATGGGGACACGCCTGGCTGCCACCAAGGACGGGCAGGGGACAGGCAGGACCCTCGTGGCCATCCCTGTGACCTGTCAGCCACGACACCACTGCGGCACGAAAAATAAAAACAGACCCGAAGCACCACCCTATTTTTAACTTTTTGTTGTTGTTGTTGTTGTTGTTTTTTGTTGGCGATGCTGACATAAAAATCCTGGATCGTACGAAGGGATACAGGAATTTCCAGTTGGCCAGTTGAGGTTTATTTTTTTTTTTTCCATGTGGGCTGGAGCCCGCAGCCTTTCAGGCTGGATGTGGAACGAGCAGGGAATTGGATTTGCAGCTTCTCCCCGCTAGAGGGAATTTTTTAAACGGATGAGTTTTGGGGATGAAAGTTCAGCTTTGGTGTGTTCTGGAACCTTGCCTAAGGAACGGGCTGGGCTGGGCTGCACAGGGACTGGAAATGGAGGGAAGGGGAGGGAAAGGAGGCATGGAAAAGGGGGGAGATGGAAAAGGGGGGAGAAGATGGAAAAGGGGGAGATGGAAAACGAGGGATGAAAAGGGGTTGGAGCTGGCTGGAAGAGGTTTCAGGGGACAGAATGGGGCTGGAAGGGACTGATGGGAACAGGAGGGGACAGGAAGGGGCTGGCAGGAGCTGCCCGGTGTGATAACACCGGCCCGGGGCTCGCCCTGATCTCCCCGCAGGAGCCGCCCCTGTGCAGCCAAAGGAGAGAATTCCAAAGGCCCCGAGAATTCCAGGAGCTCCTCTCTGTCCCCTCTGTCCCCGCCGGACCGCGGCTCTGCAGTTTAACAAATTAGCGCCGTGCAGCTGAGCCCCGCTAATTAACGGCGCACGCTAATTAACGGCGCACGGGCACGGGATGGGATCCCAGGATCACCACGGGGAAATTCCAGGGTCCTCCCCAAGGGACAGGGATGGGCAGGGACCCATGGGCTGGAGCAGAAATGGGAAGTGAAAAGGAGCACGAGGATGGCAGGGAATTCTTGGCAAAGGGAAATAAAGCTTAAAATCCTGCAGAAAAGTGGGATTTGTTAACAGAA